AATTCTTAAATTTTATTGGATGGTGCAGTAAAGATCTGCAGGCGCAGAAAATTAACGAAAACTCGGAGTCCTATTCCTAGAGATTTCATTACTGCGCATAAATTAGCATTGTCATGTTACTTTGTCATTTTCGATGTTATTGTAACCTAAAGGCAGAAGGAAACTTCTACTCAACGGCGCTTCATTACTGCGTATTCAGCTTGTCGAGGGTTATTTCCTCTGCCTTTAGGTATCGATATGAGACGTTGTCTCATATCTTAATTCGATAAAACTTTTCAAGTTTAATCTCAATTCGATGAACTCTTCGAGTTCATCTCAGGCATTTTTTATTGGTTTTTTGATTAATAAAAATTACATGATTAATGTGATAATTTCAAATTTATTTACTGAGAATTTTTTTAACAGAATTTGAAAAATTTAACCGCAGTTTATTTAATTAATAATAAATATTTATATAAAATTCGTCAAAATTAAAACAAAAATTATCGAATATCAAAAATTATAAAAAATCTTATTAATATATTTATTCTTAATTTCATATCATATTTATTTTTTTTTTTTTTAATTGAATTATAAAAAAAATTCAATTTTATATTCATATTTCTTATTTGTATCTTAATTACTAATTATAATTTTTTATAAATATAGAATAAAAAATCTTAAAAATCTTATAAAAAAAAATCTCTTAAATATTAATTCCTATCAGATATAATTTATATTTCTTCTTTACAATATGTCTAAGAATATCAAAATAAAACTTTTCTGGAACTATAAATATACCCTTAATATTACTTGAAAAAATATTTAAAGAAATAACAAAATCATTAACACATCTCTCTAAATATTCTAATTCATCCCTTATCTCATATCTAATAACATATCTTCTCTTTGTATCAACAAAATCAAATCCTGCATATCCAATCTTTTTAATCTCTTCACTTATCTCATATTGATGTCTGGTTCTTACAAATTTAGTATTAGAAGGAAGATATGCTAATAATTTTCTATATTCACCTTTTCTTTCAATTACACCATGTAATTTTAATAAAAACTCATGTTCCTTCTCTTCAGATAATTTAAAAATTCGTAATCTAGAAAAAGTAATTTCTTTATTTTCATCTTCTAGATTACTACCACTCTTTATAATATTTATTAATTCATGATCATCACATATGATAATTTTATGCCCAGAATTATTCATTATATCTTTTGTCTCTTCTTTTAATATTTCAGCAATACTCTTTTCTTTTGTTTTCAAAACTGAATATTTTGAATACGTTCCAACAAGAAAAATTCTAATATATTCTTTGGGTTGTTCTTTTAAATTTTTTATAAATTCTTTATATTTATCATATAAAGAATCTATATATTTACTATAACATTTTGCTTGAATAAGAAAATATTTATCCTTATAGTGATAAGTAAAATCAAATTCACTATCACCAATTCTTTTAGTTTTATCATAATAATAATATTCATCATAAGCAATGTTATCAATATTAGAACATAATTGTAAAATATTATATTCGAAACTAAAGCCCTTATCAAATGATTTAGATTCTTTTAAAAATTTTTTCGAATACATTTTACAATGATTAAAATAATTAATAAGATCTTTATATAATAATTTA